TATAATTCTCCTTTATATCATTAAAGTTGGTTACACATTCAAAGGGCTCTATGCTTTTACAGTACAGTCATTTAAAGGCCAGCAGGCCTTTGGTTTACAGCCATCTAAACGGCTGCATGCTTCTGTTGTACTTCTGTTGCTCTAAAAGGCTGCACACGCCATTAAGCAGTACAATTAAATGCAGCTGCATGCCTGTGCACATACTTTAGCAGTGCCAAGCTGAATTAACCCTATGTTGGACTAGTCACAGTTGACCATACCACTATCAAAGGTTTCCTACTGATCCTCACCGTTACATTTTCGAACAGTATTGATCAGCATGTGTTCATACAACAAATGGCACAAACGTTTCATTAATATAGTGGTAGGTATAGTTGACCTAAATATATGGGTCATGTAATTTGAACATGCTGGTTAAATGTTTAACACAGTAACTTCACTATATAAGACACTTCATAGTAAGCGTGCATAGTATATATGAGTATATATGATTGCACAGAATTTATGAGCGATTGTTATTACATATGTAGTGTATACTGGTATATATGTGATAATACAATCCACAACACTTGTCTAATTCTCTTTCCCGTTTCCACTAGCCTACACATAATTTCATACCGCCAATGTCTGGCTCTTTTAACCTTTGAGCAACAACATCTATCTTGCATACAGAATATTTCCACACTGGTAGTCCCCTCAACAGAAGTTAAACCACCTAACACGGATCTATGAATCATTCAAACATAAAAGGGCACCTAACTGGAGAAGTAATATATATGTCTGATAATTCTAAAACTTTAAATGTTTTTCTTTTATTTTCTCTCTTTAGCATTTGGTCAGGGGACCTACTTTGCTTTGCTACTACTGGGGATGTCCCATGATGCACTATGAATGTTGCAAAAACATGTTTTTACTCAATGATTATCTCTCATGTAGATTATTGTTTGACGTCCTGGTCAGTTGCTTGTCCAACAACACTTAAAATTATTGAAAATATTTATAAAAGAAGTTTAAAATTACTTGACAAAAAATCTACTTCCTATCACCACTGTCATGTGTTAAAAAAACGTGGTTATGGTTATGGACAAATCAAGTGTGTGATCATGTATAAGTTGTATTGTTTTAATGTTTTACTTGGGAATAGAATGGTTTGTATTTGTGAATTATGAACTTTTTTATTAATTATGTCCATTTTTAATATGTTTTTGGACAACAGATGGAAATTAGCCTTTGGCTATAATCTGGTATGTTTACATTTATGTAAATTCTTATTTTACATGTATGTTCATTAACATGCACTGTCCCAAATAAAATTTATAAAATTTATCAATTTATTAGAGATTTGTAGATTAGATGAAGACAAATTATGTAAGTGTAAACAGACATTCATGTGAAAATTGTCATGGTCTGACAGCCCCGCTGAGTTGCCTGCTCGTTGTGTCGATGTTTGTATTTCGCTCCCTCGGGTTTGCTTACCTCCAAGTTGAGACGAGTACTACCGAAAACGTTCCCGCGCTGAAGCCTGCCGCACCTGCTGTTGATCACAGCTGTGGCTTATTATCTGCCATCTTTGGGGCCGTCTACTTAACGGTGTGATCAGGCTTCACTCGGCGCTGGATCATTGTGTGAAACTCGGTAGTATTGCTCGGATGTGTTGTTGTGTGAAAGCTTTCCTTATGCTAAAGATTGCTTAGTCATTGTGTTGTATGTGTGTTTTGTCACTAGAACGGAGAGAAGTCACGAGAGCTGTATTACCACTAAGGAAACTGTTTGGGATGGAGTCACTGCGTGTGTGTTTTCACTTCACGACCACAAGTACTGCCAGGACACAATTCTCTGCCGTTTTATAACATTATCATTTGCTTTTGTCATGTCAGTCAAAATGAACTATACTTTTGGATGCTGAATAATAAATAAAACTAATAGTCTTCATTTCATTGCTTGAGTCATTGCATACAAAATTGTTGAATTAAGGGGGAAGAGGGAGAAG